TTTTTCCCACCTTGATAGATAGAAGTTGTGGTAGGCTTCTCCACCTTTACTACCTTCCTAATTCTAATTTGGTAGTCTTATGTGAGATCGCATGTCGGTTGGAGAGAGGAATGAAACATTTAAGTGTGCGAGAACCTCTTCCTAACAGACTCGTTTTAAAAGTTTTGAGGGGAAGCTCTTTAGAAACCTTGAGGGGAAGTCCTTGAAGGGAGAGCCTAAAGAAAACAACATATGCTAGCGGTAGTCTTAGGGGAAGCCCAGACACCGTGCAGTGTGCCAGCGAGAATGTAGGGCTCCCAAGAGGGGTGGATTGTGAGATCCTACATCGGTTGAAGAGGGGAATGAAACATTCCTTAAGGGTGTAGAAACTTCTGGTGCATTTTAAAACCCTTGAGTGGAAGTTTTTGAAGGAAAAGCACAAATAAGACAATATCTACTAGTGGTAGGTTTGGAAAACTTATATATTGTATGTATTTATAGGTTAAGTTAGGTCATCGTAGAGATTTGGTCCCGTCTTGAATGATTGTTGGGACTTGAAGGAATAGTATATGTAGGTTTCTTCTGACTGAAGTGAAATTGTGGCAACTACCAGTGAGTTGAATCATTGCTGTCATTAGGTTTCACAGTAGAGAAGGGTCTTTTGCTTGTGGGATGGATGATTGTGAAAAAGACAGTCGGAGAGAGTGAATGCCGGACTTCGTTTATATTAGGTTGTGTTTGGGAGTGTCTAGTGTTCGATGTTGAAATGATTAAAATCACCTTTTTATTTTCAAAATCATGTTTTTTAGTCATTCAAAATCAATTTTAGTAGCTCGAGATAGCATTAAATTGATTTTGAATGACTAAAAACATGTTTCCAGTAGCTCGAGAATGTTGGCTCATGTTTTGAGCAAATACAAATATTCGTGTGATTCTAAAAAAATGGGTTCTCGTATTCAACCTTCGATGAACATTGGAAAATTTGAGATTCATCATATCCGCTTTTTATGCATGAAAATAGTTGAAACATACTTTTTGTCTTGTCAAAATAATTACGAACATGACAAAAGTGATTTTTAAAACGAATTTATTCTTGGGTTATTTTTTTTCATTTTATCTCTTTTTATGGATTACTTACATTCTATTTAAAATTTTGGTTGATATAAATATTAATTTTGAATTTTACTTATTCAATTTCATACCTATAATTCGTTTTTTGTGATAATTTTCGAAAGTTTATATTAATAATAATAAATTAGATAATTTTGCAAATAATTATATATATATATAATTTTCCAAATAATTGTTTTGAATTGAAATAAGACAAGGTGGAAATTTAAATAAAACATCAATGATTGACCAAAAGCAAAACAAAAACAAAAAAGAATTCATTCAATTGGGCATCCAAAGTGTCAAGATTTATTATCATATTTATTCATGACATTTCTACACTGTCAAATCTACCCTTGCATTAATGGCAATCTACTTCTTTGTCAAGGGCTATTTCGGTCATTTTGATTAGCTGGTTGGTGAAGTCAAGCAACCTATGAGCTCCAACATAAAGAGAGCCACCGACAAAAACCGGCCAACCACAGCCTCACAAACTCCCTATTTCCAATTAAATTATTTTCGGCCAAAAAAATCTTAATTTATATTAATTATTATATTCTCTCCTAAGCTTTGTTTAAGACAAATTTAAGGGGTTAATTACATGTTTAGTGTTTCAAATTTTAGAATTTGCATTTGTTAGCCCCTACAACTTTATAAAATTTCTATTTGGTCCTTCAATTCTTATGTAATTAGTAATTGGCATACTCGACGTGTTCAAAAATTTGTAGGTCGTTTATGTCAAGTTCATCTGTCGTGTGATTTGAAATCTAAATTAATCATAATTTTCAACCCGTTCTTTTCATCACTCCTCTTAGTTGAGACATGCGATCTAATGCTTTTTAAGTTAAAATCAACTCGACTCCACCATACTATTTGATTGGACGAATCGAGTTATATCTTTTTTTCTCTTGGCTTCACTATCTCACCTAGTTGTCATTCACTTTTGTGTTACTCACCGAGCAAAACCAGTAAATATAAGGAAACAAATCTATTCACTAAGAAAACAAAGAGAAAGAAAGAGGAATTCAAATCCTCAATAGTATACGCGTTCTAAAGCTGTAAGACTGACGGCGATATGTAATAAGTTAAAGTGGACAATATCTATTGGCAGTGAGCTTGAGATATTACAAATGACACTAGAGCTAGACATCATGTCGTGTGCCAGCGAGGATGTTGGCCCCAATGGGGGTGGATTGTGAGATCCCATATTAGTGGGAGAGGAGAACAAAACATTTTTTAATAGAGTGAGCTTGAGCTATTACTAATCACATTTGAGCTAGCGAGGATGGTAGACCCCAAAGGAGGTGGATTGTGAGATCCCATATTAGTGGGACAGAGGAATGAAACATTCTTTAGCATGATGTAGAAACATTTTCCTAATAGAGTGTGCACGGGTTGGGTTGAGAAAATCTTTTGGACCAACTTAAAATTTTGAATTTGTTGAGTTGATGACCCGAACAACCGAAATAAAGTTCATAACCCAATTCTCTATTTTCGAGTTGGGTTAAGTTGTCGGGTTGTTTTCTTTTATTTAAAAAAAATCATATTTATCTACCATACATGTTATATTAATAATTAAAATTTCTTAAAATTCAAATATCAAACATCCACAAGTTACAATACATTATTAACATCGATTGTAAAAGTTAAATATTGTTAATTTTCGTAGTAATCTTAAAAATATGATAAGGTTGAGTTGGGTTGAATTTTATCTTAAAGTTGGTCGGAGTTGACCCAACAAAAAAACAACAACCTCGTCCCAAAATTTTTATTTTCCAAAAAAAAATAAATATATTTTCAAAATCTTTTTTGACTATTTAGAGAATGACACGTGTCCTTCACTAACAAATAAATAATTTATGTTTAATAATATATTTGGACTAACTTCTAGAAGAAATATTTTTTTAAGAAATATAATAAATATAATTTTTTTTTTAGTGATTATAGTGGATCAAAAATATTTTTTAATCTTAATAAATACAAATATTTTACAATACGCTCATATCATTTTTTGTCGTTGAATTATATAGAAATAATAGAATAAGATGACTCTATCAAAGAAAATAAAATATTTCGATGACATTTTTCATTCAGGTTGTCAAACCCAACCGATACGATGGAACGAAAATATTATTTAATATGTTGACATAAATATTAAAAAAATATATTTTCTAAATTTTATCAAAATTTCTATATTGTACGAGTATCCAAAGAGCATTATATCAAATTTTGACGTTACTTAAAAGTCAACCAATAATTTTACTATATTGTAAAAAAAAAAAAAACACAATTTAACGTGAATATAATATAAATAATATTGAAAATTATAAAATGTTTAATTATTATTTTGAATTATTTATTTATTTTTATTTTTAATAACTTTTCTAGAATTTATAATTGAAGTCGATATTTCATATATGTTTTTATAAATATTTTCTAAATTTGAAATTTCTATATTTTATATACATTTTAAGCTGAGTTAATAATTATATATATATATATATATATATATATATATATATATAATGGAAGATATTGGTAGATATTTGATTTGAGCACTCACTAAAATAAAAGCAAAACTATGGTCAAATGAAAGAGGAGTGCCCACTGCGAGCTGTCGGAAGCTTCTAGGATCGCCTACACTCAGCTCTACTGCTTACTATTTTTACATCCAATAAAAACTTGCCACGTGTATCAAATCTATTTGCCCATTGCCGACATTTCCTTTGGCCACTCCACCACGTTTTCCGACACACAAACTATTTTTGTGTGTTTTTTTTTGTTTCGCCCGCCAAAATAAATAAATAAATTTCATTAAAAAATAGCTAAAATTAAATTAAATTGCATTTTGTATTAATAATATCATTTATTTTAATTCCAATTGCTTATTTCAATATTAGCATGAAATATTTTAGTTCGGTATAGTATTTCAAACGTTTACTTCACTTAAGTGAATGAGTCTCGACGTGGTGTCGGTGGACTTGCGTCGGTCGTGCTTCGCTCTCTTGCTATATTGCTCGTTTATTCCTCATTTTTAACTCATCTCTCTACCGAGCATTTTGAATGTTATTCCTTTTAAAAATATTGCATTATAAATAAAATGAGAGTTATATGTCGTTGTCTAATTAATTATTTATTTTTATATTGACCAATTTGAACATAACTCAACACATAATACACTATCATGAGAAAAGTCGTATTTTTTTTTTTTGACCTCCCACGTCCCCATTGTTAAATTAGAAAAATATCACAAAATTAATAGTTAAAATAACAAATTTGACCTAAATTGTTTTCAATTTGGTCTAAATCTCATAGTTGTTGGACTAAATTTTTTGTTGATGTTCCCATCATTCCAACGAGTCCTTTCAGAATATTTTATAAAAAAAACCACACAACATAAAAATGGTTAAAGTAAAGCACGTTTAACCATGAAATTCTTATTATTGAGTAGACGAAGATGCCATGAATTGATATATGTAGTAACCTTGAGTTTATTTACTCGGGTGTTAGATATATATATATATATATATTTGTAATATTTTATTTTTTTTCGGATAAGTAGTAATTAAAGTTTGGAGCTAAAAAAATAAACAAAAATATTTTAATTTAGGGGAGAATAATTTAACAACATAAATTTGGTGGATGCGACCATTTGTTGGTTGAAATTGATTTAATGACTTTCCACCTTATTTATTTATTTATTTATTTAATTATTTATTTTGCATTTAATATAAATTAGGATTTTAGGTAATTTCTTAATTCAACTAAAATTTCACTCTTAATTTGTACGATAAAAAAATAAATGGTACTTTTAATTAATACGGAATATATATATATATATATATATATATAATAAAATTATAAAATAAGCTCTGAAAAATAAATAAATAAATAAAAAGGAATAAAGAACCCACGAAAAAGAATTGCTCTCACAAGCTATCACTGGGCTTCACCTTCTCCCTCTAGAAGGAAGCTTTTCCCTCTTTTATTCGCCGGAGCCCGCCGCATTCTCCGGCCGCAATCCGCCATGGGTTCGACCGTCTCCGATGCGGTTCAGTTCTACTTCATATTCGTTTCTCTCCTTCTTTTCTTTGGAATTTCCGCAGCGTTGCCGGAATATTCGAAGCCTCGCCTGTTGTCTCCTTCCGCGAATTCCTCTGGCCAGATTAACTCCAACTCGGTTCTCGTCGCTTTACTGGACTCGCATTATACTGAGCTTGCAGAGCTGATTGAGAAGGCTTTGCTGTTGCAGAATCTAGAAGATGCTGTTGGAAATCATAATTTGACTATTTTTGCGCCGCGAAATGAAGCTTTGGAGCGCGATCTTGACCCTGAGTTCAAGCGGTTTCTTCTCGAGCCGCGGAATTTGAAGTCGCTTCAGACGCTGTTGAAGTTTCATGTCATTCCTTCTCGGATTGGATCGGGCGAGTGGCCGAGGAATGCTGAGTCGACTCGTCACCAGACGCTCTCTAGTCATGTCCTCCGATTGACTCACCACCGCACAGGAGAACGAACCGTCGATCTCGCCAAGGTTATTCAAGCCGACGCCATTACTCGGCCCGACGGCGTCATCCACGGGATCGAGAGGCTGCTCATTCCTCAATCCGTACAGGATGATTTCAACCGCCGACGGAATCTTCAGGCAATAACCGCCGTGAAACCGGAAGGAGCACCGGAAGTCGATCCGAGGACTCACCGTTTGAAGAAGCCGGCTCCACCAGCCGAACCGGGCTCTCCCCCGGCCCTTCCTATATACGACGCATTGGCTCCAGGACCGTCGCTGGCTCCGGCTCCCGCGCCGGGACCAGGCGGTCCTCACCACCACTTCAACGGGGAGCGGCAAGTGAAAGATTTCATTCACACTCTTTTACACTACGGCGGTTACAACGAAATGGCGGACATATTAGTGAATCTAACGTCCTTAGCCACGGAAATGGGGCGGTTAGTTTCAGAGGGCTATGTGTTGACTGTTTTGGCGCCGAACGACGAGGCGATGGCGAAACTGACGACGGACCAACTGAGCGAGCCTGGGGCACCGGAACAAATTATGTACTACCATTTGATTCCAGAGTATCAGACGGAGGAGAGCATGTACAATGCGGTTCGCCGATTTGGAAAAGTCCGATACGACACTTTAAGACTGCCGCATAAAGTGGTTGCGCAAGAGGCCGACGGTTCAGTCAAGTTTGGGCAGGGAGATGGCTCGGCGTACTTGTTCGACCCTGACATTTACACCGACGGCCGTATCTCAGTGCAGGGGATTGACGGAGTTCTGTTCCCGCTGGAGGAAACGGAAGCGAAACTGTCGGCAAAAACAGTTCAACACGTGAAGGTAGTGGCCAAGCCAAGGAGAGGTACGTGAAAGTTAAATTTCAGCATCTTTTCGTTTTACAATACATTTTCCTTGCATCAATTGTTAGATTTGTTAGTGTAGCGTCGGTTTCCATGGCGGTTCCTAGGTCTAATTGTCTGATTCCGGTGACCGGCTTTGACGCCGGATTGATTAGGGATTCTACTGATAAATTGGGGCAATTTTTTCGGTGTTGAGAAGGTGTATAGTGAAATTCACTCGTTGGAATTGCTTGGGAAGTGGGGATTTGATGGCAAAGTTTGATCCGTCGAGATGGGCCTTTTCTGAAACGGATTTTCTGGTTGAACTTTACTTTTGATGAAAGATATCGAGTTTCTTCAATGGGTTTGCTTGGAATCTGTCCGGATAATCTTATGAAAACAAAAATTCAAATTAAAATCTTCCTTGGGGTTTTTTGCAAGGGGAAGAGGAAAAATTAGCTCGACTTAAAGACATTATGAACAAAAATTTTCACTAAGATCATCTTCTATTTTGTATTATTCTTTGAATTCTTGTGATAATTATATGCATGTGGGTTTTGTTTGTTTTTATGTACATTAGATTGGAATTATCATGGCGTGGCTGTTGAGTTATCAAAATCACCAAATGACTAGAAAATTAATTAAGAAGGTCTTTTCCTCTCTTAATTGTTTTTAATATAAGGTAAAAAAGTGATTAGGAAAAAAGAAGTATGAGGACAACAGAAATAATTAATTGGGTTGGTGAACTCAGAATATCTTATGGGTTTTCTAAGGAATGGGGCCCTTTGAAGAGAAAAACATTAAAAACAACAGCTGGTGGAGGAAAGAAAATGCTCGTCTTTTGCCCATTAAGCTTCCTTTTACATATTATTCCTCTTGACCTAAAATATTGTTGGCGTCTTCATAAGTTTTAGATTTAATTATTCTTATTTATTTTGATCTCATAACATTCATTGAATTTTAGCACAAACTTAGCATAGCATTCATCTGTTTTGTTTTGTTTCTTCTGCAGTTTGTGAATTAAACAAAACATTTAAAATTTGAGGCCTTATTTTAGTTTTTCATTTTTCATATAGAAATATTAGAATTTATATTCATTTTAAATCTACCTTCCAAAGTAGATAATAAATCAAAGAAACTCATATTTTTGTAATGTTTATAAGCTTAATTGTGGAAAACCAAAAAAAATAAATGGTTATTAAACAGGCATGTAAAAATTTGGAGACTGTAAATAGAATTTAAAATTGTTCTTCTGTATCTGTTGTTACAATGGCAGGGAAGTTGCTTGAAGTGGCATGTCGGATGCTAGGAGCCTTTGGCCAGGATTCGCATTTCACAACTTGCCAATGAACAGTTTTCCCCTCCAAGAGACAGGTTTTTCTTTTTTCTTTTACTCATTTCTTGCTGGTCTTCTATAAGTTAAAAGGATATTAAATTGCGATCTGCATTAAAAGGATTGCTTATTAAAGAATATAAGGCCCAATGCATTGAAGAAGACAGCTATAGTTTAGGCATGTGCTTTCAATAGGAATTCAAATTCCTCAACCCTAAAGTTGAACTAAAAATAGAATAACTAAAACCTAAACCACTTAGTATTGTTATTTATTTATTAAAAAAATGTAACGGTCCAACCTCACAGCTAGTAGATATTGTCTTCTTTGGCCTGTTACATTTGTTGTTAGCCTCATGTTTTTAAAATGCGTCTATTAATAAAAGTTTTCACACCTTTGTAAGGAATGTTTCATTCCCCTCTCCAACCGATCTGGGATCTCACAATCTCACAATCTACTAGCATAACACACATAGTGTTGCAAATGGTATCAGAGTCAGATACCAGACGATGTGCCAATGAGGACGCAGGACCCCAAAGGCATGAATTGCGAGATTGTGAGATCTCACATCGGTTGGAGAGGGAAATGAATCATTCCTTATAAAAATGTGAAAACTTCTCTCTAATAAACGCGTTTTAAAACTGTGAGGCTGACAGCGATACGTAACGGACCAAAACGGACAATATTTGTTAACCGTAGATTTGGGCTATTACGGAGAATTGGTTTTGTGAGACGGAATAGGAGGTGGAATGCAATTTCATTAATATAGATATTCTTGTTTGTTGACACAGATGCAGAAATGTTCTTCATGAAGATGTAGCCCTCCTTTAATGGGTAAACTTGGGATGATCTCCATCCCCTTTTTTCTCTCTTTTTTTCCCCATTATTTTCATGTGAGCTTCAGTAAAGAAAAGAAAATCCACTGTGAATTTCAATCCTCAGCTATACTATTCAGTACATAACTGTGTGTTTCTTTTTCTTAGATTTTTTTTCTTCTCTTTTATAATTTAGTTCATATGGTGATGAGTGCTTAAGGTGGTTGAAATGGGCAAAAACATAGGATGGGGTGGAGCGTCTTGTTGTGTATTATTCCCCCACTGCATAATAAATTTGAAAGCTGAAATTTGTGCAACACAATAAAGCTGTGTTTTCCCTCTTCTATGACTCTCTTATCATCACATTAATCTTTACTTTGCGTACACGTTCCTTTTTTAACTTTATTATTTACTTTAAAATTACATGCTTTTCACTTTTTTTTTGAAAACATCTTGAGCTTTGTAGTGATAGCTAATTGAATTATGAAGTAAAAGTTATATTGTTGATCAATATTTTTGTTAATCACAATGTTTCTCTCTGTACTTACTTTTGTTCATTTGAGTTGTTATACTATTAAAAACCGACTATTTTGGCTTTTTTTTCATTTCTAATTCTTAAAATGGCCACCTTTTTAAATTAAGAGACCAAAATGGACTACTTAAAAATACAAGATCAAAGTGAACTAAAGTACATGAAAGGCTTAATTTTTTTTAAGAAGAGTTGGGTCAAAAGAATGTTGTAATGTTATTCTTACTAATCTTTGAGGATCTAGAATCCAAGACATTAATACCTTTACTTCTTGCCTTCTTGCCCGTAAATCCCACTTAAAATATGAGATTCTAGATTAGAAATATTTTGTAGACCTCTCCCTAACATATGCGTTTTAAAATCGAGGAAAAACCCAGACAGAAAAGCCCAAAGAAGTCAATATTTGTTAGCGGTAAAGTTAAAATGTTTGCCTTGTTTTGTCACTCTCCTTAGTGCTCTTCATGTTGATTGCTCACCTCCCTTGCAGTGACGTTATATGTTGTACCTCCCCCTCATTGCCTCCTCACCTTCACACGACAATGTCGTCACAACGAACAACCTATTGCACGCCATCCTTTTGTCTTCTCTTTCTCTTTTTGGTTTTAATCCCTAGGTTCTTCCTCTTAGGTTCATGAACCCAATAAGACAAGTAGAACTAAACTGGTTGGTTGTGTCCAAGTAGTCATTTGTTCGATTCTTCTTTTGCAAAAACTTATTGATTTGGTTCAATTCTTGATTGAGCACAAAATTGACAGACAAATAATTCTTTCCAACAGGACAGATGTATGTATCCATTATGGACCAATAATGGATGCTTTAGACCTTAACACCCACGATTCAAGGTACTCGGTAATGAATCAATCAGGGGAGGGGGGAACAAGGGATACAGTCCTTTTCTCAACTTGGCTTGGAAGAGTTCAACAGCACAAAACAAACCAATCAACCATTGAATTTCAACAAAGTTGCACATTCATTTTTATTTCAAATGGAATGGGAGCGGCGTGGTGCCTGCTTCAACTGCAACTCGGAGTTTAAAAATGTCCCTCATTCTTGTTTCTCCACCACTCCATAAACTTAACTTGTGCACCCATGGTGTCCACCCTGTAGAGTTGATACCAATGATTTGCGATCTCATGGCCAAAAGTCCAACCGAATACACCTCCCACCAGTAACGACAGCCCAGCGCCTGTCAAAACACATCTATGGCATAAGCATGCCAGTATTTACAAGCACTTTATGCATCTTTATACATAGAACAACAAATGCTCATGTTCAACGTTTAAACAAGCTAGTTAGGCTTACACTTATTATGCCTTTTGGTTTTCCTTGACACAGATTTAAACATAGAAAAAGATTCCTGAGGTCTTGATATATAAAGCCAGCTCCTCAACTCTTTTAGGATTGGACTCAAGAATTTGAGCCTTGACGTTCTCAGTATTCTACCACAGGACATTACACGTTTCAACTTGAGACTCTAATCAAAATATCACCGTATTAAATAAATCAGGATTTATTTTAGGCCAGTATATGTTCATGTCAACCAAACTCATGACCTGCTTGAGTTGTGTGCATAGTATAGTATTGTGAAGGTTCTAGCCAGTGAAAATAAAAATGTGCTCCATTGGTTGAAAAGAACATTTGGACTTGTATAAAAATGGAAATATGAAAAGGAATGTGAATTGATGAGAAGCGACGCAGAGACCGTTGAACCATGTGATACTTAAAAATTCTAAGAGAAGAAACAACCGCCACAATATCGGTAGTAAAGTAAAATAATAGTTTGCATGCTACAGATATTCATTTATATATATGAAGCAGTTAAGTAGAAAGACAAGGCAGTTGCATACCATGTAAACTTCTCGAGTATTTCCATGCAACACCTGCAGTTGATACAGCTCCAATAACAGTTCCTGTAAGACCAAAGTTTACAGCTTCTCTGGCAGTCTTCAACTGAAAAAGAACAGTAAGCAGCTGAATGAGGAATCTAAAAGCATGTACAAGAACTCTCAATTACAGAAAGTTGAGGTATCTGCCTTCGCCATCCTGCTATGGTGGAAAAATGTGAAACAAAATGACAACCATGCTTAACCCGCCAGTCTTGAGGAGATATGCTACTTAAGCAATTATTGAAATTTCATGCCCGAAGATCGTGTAACAGGCCAAGTAGTAGAACATAAGAAGGCAAGGGAGATCATATAATGAATCCATGATCGAATTATTAAACATTACAGGCAGGTATCATAATGTAGATACAAACTGACAATAAACTGGAGATTACTTTTATAACTGAAAGTTAGACAGCAGTGAAAAGATGAACAATCAGCCACGGCCAACAAAAACCAGGACATAATAGGACCAGAAAGAGAATAGAAAAGCAAAGAAATCTTGGCAGGAAAATCACAGGCAAATATGTGTTCTACAAGGTTCTATTAATCAGAATGATAACTACCATTTACCAATACAGTTCATGGGTACTTTATTAAAAAGCAATTGATTCCAACCCCTGTGAATCGATATTGCAATATGTTAGTAGTAATAAAATGCATTAATTTGATAGTAGAAATGATAACATTCCAAAAATGATTAATGGAAAACAAAAGAAAGATGAAAATATTATTTTGCTTATTGTGATAAAAATGATTTCAGAAGACCACTATTATGAAATTCTAAAATGGGTGGGATTTAGTGATCAACAGTTGATCATAAAAATCATACAACAAGGAAATATTTGGTCCAGTTCCCTACTACTAATCATACTTTTCACCGCACCAGAAAGCTTCGAAAAGTATAAGGCCTGACTCAGAATTTCCTTCAAGTAATTTCAGAGTAATACAGCACGAGAAGGGGAGGGAGACGAGGCATACAATATTATAACTTAAGCCATTGTGCATCAACAATCCTCGGGCTAGGAAGCGTCAGATTATCCCAAATTCAAAAGGAAAAAACAACTCTATTACCTAATCTCCAGAGAAGCAAGTGTAAACGAACACATTTAATTTAAGTTGGAAAGTCAGTTTAAATTGCGGGAGCTGCAGGATCAAGATATAGAAAAATCCAGATGAGATCATCCGAAACACAAACTGGCATGCATCGATCAAGAAAACAAACTAATAAAACAAATGTGCATACTACCACAGAACAAAAGGAATGAAGCAAAGAACACAGTAAAAGAAGACGAACAAATACGAAACAAACGGAAAGAAATTGATCGGCGGCTCCAGGGAGCTCCATCTCCAAGCAGAAACACGCAATGGCAGAACAGAACTCACAAGCACCAAGTAAAAGGAGTAAAACGAAAAAAGGAAGTGAAGGATGAATTACAGTGGGGCCATGAACGGGGTTGAAAGCAATAAATTCCTCGACATCGGAGCTAGACCATGGAGGAAGGGGATTGTCGCGCTGGACGAATGGGGAATAGTTGTCGAGGATCGAAAATCTCTCCGACCAAAATTCCTTGTAACCTTCCCAGTGCTTCCTGAAGAAGGATTGAGACGACGAATCTTCCATAACTTTTCCGGCAAAAAAACAGATTAGAAATGAGATTTCAGAAACCAAATCCGATTGAAAACAGAATCCTTTAGCTGTTCTAGCTCTGCAATCTCGTTCTTCAGAGCTCGTCTTGTTTTGTGTTTGGGAGGAAAATGAAGATCGTTTAATGGCTGTTATGGTTTTGGGCCAACGCAAGGCCCAATAGAAAAGCCTACCATTTCGGCCCAGATAATACCCATTACAAAATTTTAAAAATTACTCCCAATAAATTGGAAAAGGAAATTCAAAAACATATATATATATATTTTTTATCTCTTATGATTCTAAGCTCTAACCTCTCAATCGTAAAAAATAAAAAATTACGGAGATTAATCAATTAAATTTTGGTCGGGATGAGACATTTTTTAGACTCAACCTAATTGTTCATAAATATTTTCAACTCAAACGGTAACAGCTTAAGCCCAAAGCTAGTAAATATTGTTCTCTTTGGGCAACTAAGTCCACTGCAAGTAGATATTGTCCGACTCAGACGGTAACAACTCAAGCCCACAACTAGTAGATATTGTCCTCTTTGAACAGTTCAAGCCCACAGCTAGTAGATATTGTCCGACTCAAACTGTAGCAGCTCAAGCCTATCGCTAGTAGATATTGTCCTCCTTGGGGAAGTCTCACAATCCACCCCCAGGGCCAGCATCCTCGCTGGCACACAGCTCGGTGTCTAGCTTTGATACCATTTGTAACCTTGTAATGTATTTCTAGGTAAAAATATATATTTTTAAATTTATAATAAATCTATGTTGATTCGGTTCATCTCGATCTAGTTTTAACCGAACGCATAAACTTATCCAATATATAAAATTTTCATTTATTTGAATCCCAACCCAATCAAAATAAATTCATAGCCCAACCCAAACTAAACAGATTGGGTTAATCGAATTTTTCGGAGTCATCAGATATCAAAGATCTCTTCAAACATCGATATCATTAGAACAAAGATTTTATGTACATTTTAGAAGGAAAGAATAACAAATATTTGTATCATATTTTCTCAACAAATGAATAGAATAATTAGGAATCAACTGTGGAACAAGTTTGTGTATTACTTTGGTGAATCATGTCAACTGCCCTACACACACTTGGGCTCAGCATACTGGCGATCCGAGGCGAACATTGAATTTCGGACCGAGCAGCCACCATTCTTGGCGACAAGCTCACCTGCTCCATTGCTCGGAGCTGAAGCTCGACGGGATAGTCTCGAACGCACCCGATTCGGGGACCTGCACCCGTTGTCCATTTGCAGGATAGCTGCCTTCCCAGTTGGTATGATT